TAGATTATATATATATATATTTGAAAGACTCGAAAACGGAAGATGGAAAATAAAGTAAGCTCGCGTACGATATCTAACTGTCATCATCGTGTACAGGTGTATGTGAAAGCTTGCGCGTATATATACAGGCACACACAGCCAAATCATGTACACGGAGAGGTAGTGGACGCAAATTCACGAGGATCTCCCACACCCACTGTATGTATATGCGCTTACGATTCGTGAGATACGAGATGACGAGGGAACGGGGCCGGGGCTGGCGCTATACGAGTGGGATCTAATTGCCAGTGCGTCTCTGCTGGAACCATACTATACATCAGAGCGTGTACCGGTGCATCTTGCACGCAGCGAGAATTGGACTATTGCATTGAGGTACATGTTGGTGTGCGCGTGTGCGGGGAGCTCGTGAATAACGCATTAGATCGGGACTAACAGCCGATGTCTCCACGCGTATGGCGAGTGCTTGTTCTTTCTATATCTTTGCGGGATGGGCAGCTTAAATTTTTTAAACATTAAGTTATTGCGGGTCCCTACAATGCAACGTCTTCGTTTGAAACTCGAATGAGCTCAAAGACGCGAGCGCGAAAATAACTGTTTAAGGGGAGCCAAGGGAGGCAATCCAGCGATTAATTTGTTTGGGGTTTACGAGCGAAGCGGCACGCGGCCAGCCGTTTAATTTTGCCATCCGAGCGCCTGGAGTGCCTTCGACCGGGTACCTACTTGTGAGATGGCGGAGTTTTTTTCGTTTCAAAAGTAAGCACAGTGAGCGTGGAAAATCGCGTGCGTACGAAAACTGTTTAAAGAGTCCACCGCCGTGCAAGCAGCTCAAACGAGCTTCCCTCGGTATATATTTTTGGCCCTTTGATTCGTGTAAAATTCACCGGCAAAATCCATCCCCGAGAAGCCCTGATAGAGCAGCTCTGCTCCTCGATGGGAGGGCGTGGGGTTAATTACAACATCGAGGCGATCGTAAATTGTTGCACAAACGCGCTGGCGTCGGAGACTCGGGGAGCTTTCGAAAACCGTCACGAGTCTTGGCACGTCAGCGCCGATCTGGGGACGGGGAGGTAAATGTAACACGTTAAACACGATAAGCTGGATACTGTGAATTTGTATTACCGGCACGTGACTTACCTGGAAAACGTCTTTTATACTGCGGCACGCGAGTCCCGCGAGTGTGCACGTGGGTCCGGGTTGGCCGAAAGTTTTGCTATGGCGAAAATTGTAACGACTGTTGTTGGCGAGACGTACACGTATTTTTGCACCGAACAAGTAGTAACGGCGATTGGAACTCCGATATTATAATTTATGAGAAGTCGCACGAATAACACGCAGCAAAAAAACTAAAGTCATCAGTGCTCCATGTTCTACTCGAGGGGATGGTACACATACTGTTGTATGTACGATGGCAAATATGTTTTTCCATGCGTATGCATAGGCAGTTTCCTCGACTTGTTTGACGACGCAACGAACTCTCGCTCCTCTTTGTCCCACGATTTTTTATTTATTCACAAATTAGCTTATTTGAGCTTCGCGTTATCCACCCCTTCCAACGCGCAAACAAGCGCACACGTAGCTCGAGCTCAGCCCGAGCGTGTTAAGCATCAGGTTCAACGATGCAAAGAGTTTCATTTGTCTTTCCGTCCCCCTGGCTGCGATTCCCCTGTCCCTCGCTCTCCTGCTACACTTTTCCTTACTCTCTCTTATCGCACCACCTGTCTATATTCTTTTTTTATTTGCACACGCACCCCATCCTCCTCCTCTACGCGTATAGACATACATAGGTGGGCGCGAATAATTGGAAACTTTATCGTTCGACAACATTGAATGCACATACTGTATGTGCGCTCGTTGGGTTTCCTAACGGTGAAACATCGCCCGTATTGACAGCGAGAGATAACGAAATATCGCAATAGCGTTAAGCAATGGAAATAATAATAATAATAATAACAATATAACAACGAAAAGTCTGCAGCTGCAGCAGAGGAGCGCGCAATGAACGATCTCTCGGGGCACTATCCGCGGGAGCGGAAGCTCGCACTTCCGACGATTTAAAAAGCTCCTTCCTCGAGCCATATCCTATTCGTCCAGCTTTAGCCGCGTGCGCGCCCACCCACACGCCAGATGGAGAGTCCAAAATCGTTTTAATGCCCGAGGATTTCCTGCATCCGGTGAAGTGTATACGTACGTTCATATTATGTAGTCAACGACACACAAGTGCGAATCGACGAATCGAGTATATGGCATTGAAATCGACTGCATTATGCAACCACTGCATTGATATAATACACGTGCTTGTGTGTATTTGGTATATACAACAAAGTGCTCCGCGGTCGTGTGCACAATGACAAATATCTAAGGCTCGTTTATGCAGGAGGGGATGAAAACAATAGGCACCCAAAGTCGATTGTTATTTGTTTTCCAGAATAACTTTCTCCAAATGAAAGGTTATTGGTTTGATTTTTTTGTCACCCACCGTTTGTTCGTATTTCGGTTAATTTGTAACACTCGACGGTATGGGGTAGACATTGGCCTCGAGTGTAGGGTGGTGGTGTAAGAAAAGGGTCCTGCTCGAGAACGCGCGTGGTCGATTCATTTCGGCGGAAGATTCGACTGAGATGTGTATATATGTCCGCGGGGTTCGTACGGCCGAGGGTGCATTTCTCTTTCTCTCGATGGATCGGCTGCAGGTCATTCGCAGTCGATTTCCGGATACGTGATCGACTTTTTGCTAAACGTACCTCCATCCGCACGTACCTACACTCGACGAGATAAAGAAGCCGCATCGGTCGTGATTTATGCCGGTGGATATGACGAATGCGAACTCGTCTGATCATGGTTTTTTTTTTTTTTTTTTTTTTTTTCGTTTCGCTGCGAAAAATTATTGAACTATTTTTGATACTTGTCTTGATCGCAAGCGTTATTTCTTATCGGTCCTTTATATATTATATACGAGGCAAAAATAGCTCAAAGGATTGGCCATTTGTATAAACTTGGAATTATCGCGAGACAACAGTAAAAGCCGTATAACTGAATGAAAAAATGTATTCAAGTTATAAAATGTAATTTATTTTTTACGCATTGTGGAATAATCAACATTGATTCTTACACAGCTTAGCTAATGAACATTGGTTCTTGCACATCACGTATTAATATTTAACTAATGACTTAAAATAAATGAAAAAAGTGATTATACATATTATCTACATCGGATAAAATCATTAAGTGTATTTATTTTATAAAAAGACATACGGGGTTGATGGCTGGGATGCACATAGTATACAGTTATGGCTGTTCTTCTTTTAAGATCCCCAAATCCCTGTATATTCCCTCGTTGTTTTCGCACTTTTTCAAACAGAAGAATGCGGAATAGAAAAATAGCTGATTTATACCAGCTGCTACGGAGATCACGTCGAGCACAAATCCATAGTTGTAGAGGAAGGACATCTCGAATGTAACGTACAACGTTTTGTAAAGTGCCAGCAATACGATGTAATAGAAAACCGGGTTCTCGATTTTTTTGGCTTTCAAACAGATGTAGAGTTGGGGGATGATCGCTACCGCCTCGAGGTAGATGCTGAATATCCAATACACGTCGCTCCTACCCCAAATGCTGTGCATGCCCATCGCCACACTTAATATTAATAATAGTGTGAGTTGACTACGGAATAAAAAAAAAAAGTTATATTGATAAATTAGGTTTATAAGAGAAACAGCTGCTTTTGGTAGTTTCATCGAATGCTTGTATTTTTATATGTAAAAAAATTATCTTTGACTTTTTGCCTGTATAAGTTAGACGATAAGTTGTTTATAATAAAAATTAATAAGATTAATAAATTACAACGTGTTATTGTAACACCCACTATAATGGTCCGTGATAAATTTGGAAAACAATTGATTTGCTTGATAAATTGTAAAAGAACATGGATTTAATGAAAATAAAAAATTATTTACAGAATAAAATTACAAAATGCTTACTTTTGTTTATTGTTTTTGCTTTGGGATGGGTTACACTTGACGTATGATAACAATGCGTTACTGCATGTCATTACCATTGTGACAAAATTGGAATATTTTCGAAAATAATGATCGTATTGACCCTCGAGGCTTAGACATTGCAGCATAAAAGCAATGGCGTAGAGAATTTGCGTTTCACCACTAATGCCTAAAAAAGATTAATTAATGAAGGATTAAAAGATACAATGAAACGTGATCAGGTGCAGAGATGGCAACTCTTAGTAACAAAAAAAAAATTACTTCCCTTCAACTCGAGTTGCCATCTCTAAATAAAATTTTTCTTCTTTCCATGTTTTACAAGTACGAGTAAAAAAAAAAATACGATCCAACGTTAACCTGCGACGACAAACTAGTATCCGTGAATGCATACGTGCACAACTCACCGATCCAATTTCGATTCCGAATATTTGTCACGAGCAACATCACATTGGCGCCCAGTTGGGTTAAAAAGCTCATGTAGTACAGCCCTATCAGCAAGGTACTGGTGTAACGGCCACTTGAAACTTCGACCATTATGGTGGTCTTGGTAACACTCGATTTGTGATACTTGTATAGGTTATTTTAATTCTTAAAAAAAAAAAAATAGATAAAAAGCACAGCTAAAGATAAACAATGACTTTTTTAAAATCAGTAATATCGGATGGAGTGTCAACAGTGAGTTACAGCAAATGCTGAGTGGGACCGGCATGAAACAGTAGCACGTAATAATATGACGTCGTGTCACTTCACTGCGAGTGCGATAAAGAGCAAAGTCATCAGCCCTCTCTTTCTCTATATGTACTTACACACGTTTAAATGCGCGTAGCAGGTGACGTCATTAGGCACCACGTAATTAAGGAACACTTGTGAATCTCCTGTAGAAAAATGCCCGAAGCGCATAAGGCCGAGTTTACACGGAACGTATTTGCCGGGGCCGAGTGGATTTTTTGGACTCGAGAAAGCGAGAGAGAGGTGGTGTGAGGAATCGACCAAGTAGATATTTTGTCACTCTTGTTTCGAAATTTACGGATACTCTAATGACAGGCTGAAGATAAGAAAAAACTTTTCCACTAAATTTTTATCGCTTCTGTAATTTGACAACAAAGAACTGGAGAACACAAAGTTTTGTGCGACACTTGAGTAAATACAAAAATTATAGGCATAAGGAAAATAATGATAAAAAAACGCTCGATTTAGTAAAGTTGTCCAAATACAGTATTTGATAGCAAACAGCTAATAAGTATATTACAGAGTAGTTAAGTTCATCACTGAAGCAAGGAGATGTAATTATTATTTACAAACAGCTTTCGGTTGGCGCTGAAAATTTGTCTCCTGCCCAAGAGTTTCCGGCTGGATTTGGGATTTGGTGCGGTCGAGCAGAGTAAGCAACATTCAGCTACCCCAGTAATCCTCGCTTGGTTGGCTTAAGCGTTTTGCTCAGACAAGAGTTTATGACACGCGCATGTACGGGACCCTCCCTTGGATAATCAGGCCATCGGGTCACATTGTCTTCGTCTTTTATGCGTAAATTATATTTCAAGTTATTTATCGAGTCTAAAAATACATCTTTCGAAAGCGAGAAGGGCATTTATTGCGGTTCGGTTTTTCGAGGCCAACAGTTTTCAAGCTTGAATCAATAAATCGGTGACCCAAAAAATTCACGTGCACCCGACCTGTCTCGGAACAATAACATGAAAATTCATTTCCGCAGGAATGGCAAAGAAACACATTTTGATTTAATTGATTTTCTTTCACAAACATTAAAGCTGCTCTACCAAACAAAGGCGTGGCTCTGTTTTAAAACTCGTCGCAGTGTCAGTCTGCGGGGTCGCGAAAAATTCGAGCTTACACTTTTTTCACGGCCGATCAACTTTTGCGCGGAGCATAACTTACGGAGTCAGAAACAGACGCGGAGAGCTAACGGAAAATTAAAATTTTCGATGAGCCGAGCTTGAGACTTGTTGGGGGAGGGAAAAAAAAAACAAAACTTTTTTTCTCATCCGAGTTTTCATCGTGAACTGTACGCCAACAGCAGCAGTGGCAGCTACAGAGGGAAATGAAAGATCCGCGTCTACCTCGGCTCTTGAGTGCTCATCTCGAGAGGGGCCAACTTATACAACGTTTGAGCCTTTCTTGCACTTTTTTTTTGTTTTTGTTTGGAAAGCAAAAAAATAATAGTTGGGAAACAGAGGTAATTAGATGGATATGTATACGAGGAGCCTGGAAAAAAGCCAGCTAGGAGTCACGTGAAATTGAAGAAAAATTTTATCAAAAGTTTTTTAAAGCCAACCAAAAGTGCCCGTATTCACGTGAGGTTGTCCATTGTCTCTTAGATAACGAAGTAGTACTCCCAAGTGGAGATTTTTCGTGGAATCTAACGTATACACCCATCCCTGAAGCATCAGAGTTTATAAGAGAGAATTTTTCCCTTTTGATTTGGATAAACTTTGAAACGCAATCCATCATTGCGAATCACTGATTTTTCAGCTCTTCGCAATTTCCTCTATCAATGCAAACAAACACACCAGCCAAACCAGTTCGAGGAGAGAAAAAATAAAAGTTCGACGAGTACGTCAATAACAAAGTGGAGCAGTGTACATCTGAAAATTTTCATCGAGCCACCGCGTAACTGTACCAAATCAAAGCTGCAACTTTTCAACCGCGAGCGAATCAAAAGTTACGACTCTGGCGGAGAAGACTCCCGGCGGTGGGAATTTTCAATTCCCCGGGAAATATTTGCGAAACAACTCCGGGGTGAAAGAGGGGGTTGAGCGACTCAAAGGCAATCAGGATAATAGAAATAATGAAAAACGAACTTTCCCGGAGCACCAGCGGCAGCTCCAAGTTTGTCCTGGTGTAGGCGCAGCTCGGCACACCCACGGGAACAGTGGATTTTCCACGCGACGGTCAAACACCGGCTCTTGCTCAGCTTCCCAAGTTGTCCCCGAGTTTTTCATTCATAAAACAGACAGAATTAAGCCGCATATATAACTGCGCCTCGAGCGCAATTGGTGTACGCGCAGGAGCAAGGATAAAAAAAGTACCTGCACAGGGTGTCCGGGCACGTGATACTTGCTCGCGAGTTCGAGTGCGCGGGGAGAGGAGGGAATAATTTCCCTCAAGGAATATAAGCGCCAATGCTCCGCCGCTGCTGTTCTCCGGGAACTTTATCAACTCTAAATTCATTACGCCACCCGTGTAACTGTAACGAGATTAACCGGGTGCGCTTGAACTTTTTTTGGATTTTTTTTTTCCTCCTCTCCCGTATCCCCTTATGGGCCGTAAACTTGGTGCCAACGTCGTTGTGTTTTCCAATAAATTTATTTTTACCGTGGTTTCAGAGTAGAATAATCTTTGGTCCATTAGAGACCAATCAGTGCCGAGACTGATTGCGAGGGTAAAAAAGGCTCGGAAACAAAAAACACCTCTGCGCCGTTGTTGTTTTTTGGTGGGGGGAAGCGTCGATTCTTCCACTTCCTTCGCCTAAAACCTCCAGCCCTTTTTAATTTATCTCCCAGTCGGTTGGGCCGTTAAGACTCTGATGCGCCCCAACATACCGCAGCCGTCGCTTTTCGGTTCTTGCCGGCTCCCCTCCACCGAGCGTTTGTTTGATTTCCGGCTCTCCGTCTTTCTCCCCCCTTCCTTCGAGCGCGTCGTGCACAACTCGCTCCTCGCCGCGAATGGAAAGCTCATCTATTTTACTCCTCTGTCTCCTGCAGTACAGCCGGAAGCTTCATCGCTCATGGTCACCATCAATTAACTCCCTCCCTCCTTTTTTTTTGTGGAGCTTTTAAGGAACTAAATGTTCCGTCGTGCAGGTGTTTTTTTGTTTCTCCCGACACTTACGCGTTTGTTCATTTTCCAGTAAAACCAACGAGAGTCTCGGCAGTGGTTACCCGTCGTAACATCCCGAGCGTGACCCAAGTTTTGACACTGTGCCCCACCAACATCCCCCCCCCCTTCCCCGAGAGATGAAGATTAATGCAAATTCCGGTAAACATCGAAATTAACTTGGCTCGACGGTGCGTGTACTACGGGGGTGCATTGAAAATCCATTATGCGCGCCAACTTTGGATTGATTAAATTCCCCTCAAACTCGACGAGCTCGCGGGTACGATGTGTATAACGAAATCGCGCCGACGTTGACATCCACGACGACCGTACGGGGTAGTAAAATCAGGGTTGCACCGGAGCTTTTTTTTCCGTCGCAACATTAAAAACGCATCAGAGGAGCTTCCAAAGACACAAATGCTATCGGAAGAAAAAAAAAAAAGGGGGCGCATACTCAGCCGCAGTCGCGCAACCAGCGGATAGACAGATAGGCATCGCGCGACGCAGCGGCAGAGCTCATTTTTCGCCAGCGCGCCACAATGATTCAGCAGAGATCGGAATCTTTGCTTCCTACCCCCCCCCCCGGTCTGCGGCTGGCAGCACTTGATTTCTCTTCTTTTTTTCACTTGTGGACGTCGTCGGCAATCTCTAGTGGGGGCTGATATCCGCCCCGACTGGGGTACGGTACACGCGCCAATATCAGCTTTGCAGGAGCCACGCATCACCTAAAAACGCTCCTCCCTCACCTCCTCGTACGCGGAACCTTCGAAAGCTGGATAATAACCGTAACGCCCTCCGACGCTCTCCGGAGGATGATCCTCGCGAGGCCGGGCCACGGAGCACCAACTTAACGTCAGAGCTGAGGCGCTCCCTTTTTTTCACGGAAAATCCCACTCGCGCGGCTTTTACGAACTGTCGTCCGAGATCAAAAGCTTCGCGGGTGCCGAGCGCTTCGCCGAAACCCTTGGGGGTCTGAATGCGAAATTCCCACTCGCGGCGACGCCTCTTTCGTGTCTCGGTTTCCCGGGCTTTTCTCAGCGCACAAACGAGAAACCCCCTTTTTTTTTTACCTCTACGAGGTTGTCTCCTTATGCTCGACAAAGCAAAATGCACCGGACCACGGGTCGAGAAACAAACTGCTACCCGAGACAAGGGGGTTGGGGGTGAAATCAATATAGGAGCCTGGTGGTCCGTGCTCTGTGCAGTTGCGGTCCTCTTTTGCGCTCGAGTGCACCCGGGCTCGGGTCCGAAATCAGGCCAGTGCTCCGTGGCATCTCGAGTCGGGAGACAGCAGCCGGTCAAAGGACCGAAGGGTTTTTGCCGATCCTTGCCTCGTGCTTATTACGTTTACGCTCAAAGGGAATTTCCCCCTTTCGAGAGATAAGGCATCGTCGAGCTCGGCTCGAGCGCGTTTCGGGTTTTGTGTCGAATATCGAGTCCCCGGCTGGTGGCAACGTCTTTTTACGCGGATTAGGTTGCCAAGGGGTCAAGGAATATTACCATCGCTCTATTCCCAGCTGGTGTCATGAGTGGAAGGAATTTCCCCTTCCTTGTAGAGGAACTGTTATAATCAGCGGGCATTTAGGATTTCCTGTTTACGAAAACTACTATTTTGTGGAATTGGATAAGCCTTTGGTTTTTTTTTTTCAATAGACACACTATCGTTACTTTGACAATTTGACTAACTGATCGAGATTTATTAC